TTTATCCACACCACACTGCGTATCCCTAGATGAACTACAGATACTTTAAAACAAACCAAATTCAAACCATGGTTTCTAAATCTGGCTATCTTATGCAAACTGAAGTTAAAATTAATCATATGATCAGAAGCTGCCATTAACAAAAAGTCAAAACTTTTATATTCATCCTCTTAGCTGTATGAGAACAGGAAATGAGAAAAGGACCACACAAGCCAAATGGAAGCTCACAGTTATTGTCCCTGGCTGATATGTCATAAAAAACCATGATGTGAATGATGAATGTGTTTAGTAAGAGACTAACTAGAACTGATAGTTCATTACTTTCAGTTCATATGTGTTCTGAATGTTAACATTTAAACTGCTTTAAGATAGTTATCACTATTCTTGCAGATACATTTTACTAAAATTTACATTAATTCACATAGTTTAGCAGGGGAAAGCCAGGAGAAGAGCCAAAAAACAAAAAAACAAACAAAAGGTCAGCAGTGCCACTTTTGGCCCAAGTGCATCTCATAGTTGTAGTAAAATGAAGTTATTGGAAGAGACTATAATGTAAACTATTACTTTCATAGAAAAATACAAATAAAAGTAAGTACTTACAGATTTTTAATATCCACAGCTCCACGGAAAGCCTTTCTTGGAATGGCATGAATCTGGTTTTCACTGAGATCCCTAAAAAAGAACGAGAATATTAAATACAATATATAAAGGATCTACTGTAATGAACAGGCAAGAACAGATACATGTAAGAGTGGGTGATATCTTTTATTGGACCAGTAAAAAAAAATCAAACAAATATAGTGGTCCAATAAAAGGTATTACCTACTCTTACATTCGTGTAATCTTACGGACCACATAGCCTTTTCCTAATGCTTTCTGGAATAGGTGAGAAGAGACCTTTCAAGTTAATCTAAAACACTGTCATTCAATCTCCAATCTAATTCATACATATTCCCTGAGACTTAATAACTTGCTATCAAATACAAAGAAGGAATCACTTTTGAAAAATATTGCTGAAAGTATTCAGCAGTTAGTAGATTCCTTCCCAAATGGGACAGAGAAGAGAAGAGAAGAGAAGGTAGTATCTACTATTTTAGTTAATTCTTAGCCTGCACTTTCAAAGAAACTGACTTTACAGAAACATCTCAGACGTTTGTGTTTAAAGATTAATATTTCAAATGCCAACAGAATTCGGATATTCCTACAGAATGTCTTGAACAACTCTCACACAACTCTCATATCTAAATAACAAAACATATTTCCACTTAACATGTAGCATTAAGGGCTTTCCATGTTCACTGTAGTTCCAAACAACAGGAAATTGAACCTGGTAATGAGCCATCCTTAACAGAAGCTTTATCGGAGCAAAATATATGTGTCAGCATGGTGGGCCCCTGTCCCAGAATTATTTGTTCTCTGCAATAGGCACATGGAGTGGTGAAGCAGAAACAGTGGAGCATGTTCTCTTATACTGTCATTTTTCTCGAGATCTTTGCAAGGATCTATTCTCCCCTATTTTTCAAAAATTTCCAGAGAGACCTGACAAATTTTATATTCTTTTGCTGCTCTCTGACAAGGTTTCCTGCATTACTAGCACACCTGTTATAGCTTCCTACAGTTTCCTGACCACATAAAGTATTTGAGTGCCCCCACCCTTGTTAGAGATTTTTTGTTTAATTTTACTTTCTAGGAGAGTTGAGGTGGTATACTAATGGCTGTATGTGTCTCTTAATTTCATCTTATGTGATTGGTGTGATGTTTTAAAAGCTTTTATATCCTTCAATATTGCTGGTTAACTTATAACTTCTTTCTTAACTTTAATGTCTTAAAAGAGTCAGATGGTGCATTGGTGATGACATGTGTTTTCCAATGCCTTTTGGTATTATCTGATATTATGTGATTTTATCTAAATAATGTATTTTTATCTTCCTGGTCACTGACCATAATAAATAAATACAAATACACATGGAGTCTACACAACCAAAATACACCCTGCCATATCATAGCAAAACACAGGACATCATACTCAGTTCTCTTTTTCTCCAAGCAACAAAATAAATGTCTGAAAAATTCTGACCATATTGGTTTACATACCAACATTTATTGGCAAATATCCTATTGAGATTTTACGCCTGCATAATGCAATTGTTGTAAACTTTGGAGACAGATTTTCTCATGTTCATATCACTGAAGATATTATCTGTTGTGTGCTAAGTCATCCAATGCAGTACATAACAGATAATATTTGTGATGATTAATTAGTCTGGGGAAATTCACCTCCAAATGTTACACTGTTTGTGCCACATTTGCTGTTGTAACTAACAGGACACTGACCACAATTTCAGTTCCACAGAGTGAAAGTAGCCTTCAAAAGATGTCCGAATTTGAATTTGGTAGACCCCCAGAACATGGAATTTCTTGCCAGTTGCTTCATAAATTCTTTTAAAAAATGTTCCTGCAGTTGTCTTCTTTTTGTTCTTGATTCACTGAGGTACTAATTAGAAAAGAGGCTATATTTGGTGGAATATGTCATACATGAATGAAGAAAAATAGGCAATCATGAAGATCCAAAAGATCCAGCTGTTAAAGTCATCAAACTCAAATGATGACTAGCACCTTTTGTGGCAGTTAATTCTTTGTGTCAATAAAGCATAACGAGAAAAAATCCTGCCTTTCCCCCCATCTTAAATCTACAGCCATTTTCACTGGGCAATTCTATATTCTAGTATTATGATGACAATGACGATGACAACAACAAAAACAACAAAGACAGGTTTCCCACCTGTAATTGTAGTTATTCGAATGGACCTCTGTGATTCACACCCTGATTCACGCCTGCACAGAGTCTTATCGGAAGATTCTAGAGCTTCTGTGGTAGCAAGAATATGCCCCTCCACCAAGTACCTTGGTGCCAAGTGTCCCCTTTCAGTTGTGTCAACCACCACTTAATAGTAAGCAAACAATGGCGTGACAGAGGGGAGGATGGGCAGCATGTGTGAATCACAGAGATCCACTCAAAAAACTACAATTACAGGTGGGTAACCTGTCATTCTTCCTCGTGGCCTCTGTGAATCACACCCTGGATGACTAATAAGCTGTCTTACCCGAAGGCTAAGTCTCCATCTGGCCTCCGCAGCCATGGAATGTAAAAAGACCAGTAAAATTGGCTGCCCTTTGCAAAGATATTGGCTGCCAGCTTCCCTACCCTAAATGAAGCCGCAGCCACTATCTTTGCAAAGGGCAACTAGTTTCCCTTTTTACATGCTGTGGCTACAGAGGCCAGATGGAGACCTTGGCGGTGGCAATTACAGTAAGGGGGTGTTGGCGGGGGTGAGGGTCTGGAGGGGGACGGCAGCGGCACAGTGGTGGGGGTAGTGGCAGAGGGGGGTGGCAGTGGCAGTATTTTTAAATAACCCCCCCTCGAATCAACAAATAACTTCGTTATTCATGTTTCGTGGGTTGTCAACTTTTGATGACTCACGAAGCGCGATGACTCAACAAAATGCTGAGTTGTCCCCATCTCTACACATAAGGGTTTTCTTGTATGTCACCTATACCTATATAATATTTAAGTCTAAATATAATTCTGAACAATTTCTTAAAAAATCATTTCCTTTTGACAAGCCATTGAAGATGACCCTCAGCAACCTACTATTTCTGAATTACAATAACAACAACTCAGTAAGAGATGATATATTCCTCTTCACTGCCTGTAGTTTGGGCTGTTCATTTTTGGCATTCAGACCGCTCAGGTCACCACAGAGCTTCCTAGGTTTCAACGTAATTTAAGTGGGATTTTTATACTCCCTCCAAGTGTTGGGAAAGGACAATAGTGAGCCTTACGGTGAGGATTCCAGAATATTTGTAGCACTGGGGGTGGGTAGGTGTGGAGGAAAAAATCCGCTTCCAACTCATTTCCTGCACAGTGACCACAATAAGACTGATCAACTGGAAGTTACACATTTCTTTTTGTTTAATAGTGAAATGATCCCTCTTTAATCAAGTCTGTGTTTACTACTTCTTTTGCATCTTTAAAAGAAGCAAATTAGCGAAAAGATAAAAATAGGCAATACAAAACTAAATGACGTTTATCCCAAAATCTCCTTTTTATTTTGACTAATGATGAAGTTGCTTTAAATCTACAGCAATATTACACAGGTTACTGTAGAATGCAAAATAATATGTTTTGTAGCAGTACTGATAGCTTTCACATAAGCATTAATTGCAGCAACATATGGGTAGAATAAAAGGGAAAATTAGTGGATTTTACACAAGGTTTAATGCACTTAAATGCTTTGTTGAAACCCTGTAAAATTAATACGCATTTTAATTCAAGATGCTTTATTTAGTTATCACACAAAAAAGTTCTAAATGCAATACACACTTCTGTTATGGATTTTTATTAAATTTGATATGGAGTATGTTAGTGAATTACACATAATGCACCACCTCCTTGTTAGTGAAATCAAATCTGCATTGCAGCTATTTTATTACTCACTACCAAAGACATCTAGTTAAATATGCCATTTACTCACAAAGCACGGAGTGCTGTAATTTTAAATGTATAAATGAAAAGTGCTATGAGAAAAAAACCTGTATCATGCACTTCTATAGTTGGAACAGGGTTCCTTTTTTTCTTGAATAGCTAAGCCATCATTTATGTTAAAGCAATAAATTTTTCATAGAAAGAAACCTGCCTCTAAATTTAATTACCAGTAATTTTATTTTTCCTTCATGGTTTAACCTCTCTGAAGAGTCCTATCAGTTTTATCATAAATCTGTAATGACATCCAATACTTTAGAAAAACCATGCAGTGTGGAAGAAGGAATAGGGAGCCTTATTTTCAGAGCTGAAAGAAGGAGAAATACAGATGCAAATAAGAGTACCTAGACCACCCTTCCTTTCTAAGTTGTATTCTGATAAAACAACAAAAATGCAAAAAACCACTAACAAATTTTACATCAATTGGCTCAATAAAAGGCCTCAATTATTGCCAAGGAGAAATAGATTTCAATCTGCAACAGCTTAGCAGTAACATCAAAAATAATTGTACTCTCAGGCCTTAAACATATTTGTCATTATATCCAGATCTATGAGGAGAATTCCTAAATGCTAACAGAAATCTTGATGTACTACCCACTCTTTTTCTCTTACTCTAGTTCTTCTTAATGTAAAAGAATTGAAGAATATAATGAAACTCTCACTCATACAGATCTCTGCCTTCAGGAAAATTACCACGTGATAAAGATGGTTAAGGTAGTACACCTTGATATGACAAGTCCCAACATGCAATGTCTCACCTAAATTTTGAAGTGAAAAAACTTACTCTAAACCTTTAATTTACATTTAATTCTTCCAACCCCCCCAAAAAACCCAACAATAAAATGGATGTGAAGCTTTACATAGCAAAGGGTAGCCTGAATGTTAACAACACCAATGGCAGCAGTCAAGATGGTCTACAGGATACCCTCTTCTGCCAAAAGTTTTTTGAATAACTTAAATTCCTCTTTTTAAAAATATGAGTTAAATATATATATGGTACACACAAATCCAATCATAAATCTCCCTCATATAGAACTACCCAGGATTCCAGAAGAGGTTATTCTGAAAATCAATAACTGATAAACCCCTTTCTCCCCAACCTTCACACTAATGTTCTCCCCCTCATGCT